TGTTCGCAATTGAATCAAATTGTAAATGTGAGTTCAAAAAATATCAAAGGAATCAAGAGCTCTTTTAATGCTTTCAGAGTTATAAATCTTTGACAAATGTTCAAATGGATGAGTTGGCTTTAGCTTAGCCTCTTTTCTAAGGTTTTGGTAACCCAAAATGTCATTTTTTTTTAAAATATCGAAATATGCTTTGGCATTTCATTTGGGTGCGGACATAATGACGCAACTAGAATGACCAATTACTAGGCATTTTATTTCGGTCCTCTGAAATCTTCTATTTGTTCAAGCTTTGTAGGCTCCTCCAAAAAAGGCAGTACGAAAAATATCGGTCTAAAAATGAAATTCTTGAGTGCTCGTGTGTAGTCGACTATAACAGGTGTTCCTTAACTCCCTTAGTCCAACATTACCGAAAATTTCTTGCTCAGATAAATTTGATTTAATTTTCCATTGTCTGGCTAGCTGAATCCATAAAGTCGGGGCATTTAACCAATTACTTTAGAGGGATAGCTTAACATTATAATCACTTTTATCAGGTTTAACTGAAGGGTTCATCTCATCACAAAGTCTTCGGCCTGACAAAAGCAGTGGAGCAAACACCGAATTGCCAAGTGTCTGAGCAATGTCATGGTTTGAATACAATCTATTCATAAAGCCAGGGCTTTCGAGTTTCCTCTGTAACCAATTACCTTAGTGGAATAGCTCAGTTTTACGGATTTAATTTCTTAAGATTGTCAAGAAGAACCTGTTATAGTCTAGGTGTTTGTTGAAAGTAAAAAATTTTATCTTTAGAGTTCAATTTTCAAGCAACTGACCTAAACTAGATTCACTTACTCGACTATTCCATATGTGAAGATCATTATCATCACTGAACGTCTTAAATAAAAAGTATAATAATGTCATATGCAAAAGGATGCCCCATGTTGTCCGCACCTTATGAAAGGAAAATGTTATATTGGTTAATTACAAGAGCAGTGTACGGTGTTTGAGTATATTCTGGGTAAAGTCAAATTCCTTGTTTTAAATCATGTTACTTCGTCAAAGATATGTAACTTTGAACCATTTCAGAGTTTCTTAATTCAGATGATATTCAAAGAATTGCAAGTTTGCAAATGTGATTCATTGTTTAACATATTTAAAGTAACATAAATTTATTTAAAAGTCCTTACAAAAACTTGAAAAAAAAAATGAAAAAACAAATTCAAACAAAATGTCTCAAATGATGAAATGGTCTTCTTCACTTGGATGCCCCCAAGTTGTTGAAGTCGATCCGATTCTTGTTACGTATTTTATGTATGATTCTCTTGATTGTGGAGTAATTCTCGATAGTGCGCCCTGGGACTCCGCTATGATTTTCGCAATGAGCGTTCTCATCATACTACCTGGGGTACGGGGCTTCATGGATTTCTCTGGATATGGTGACACCACGTGTGCGTCAAACAACTGTTGGTAAAGCTCCTTATATGTCATAGGATCAAAATGTTCTCATTTTTTATGAGACATGTGAATGTAAAAAAAGGGAAAATAATGCGAATGTAAAGAAAAATAACAAAATGCACAATATGTCTGAATGCATGGTGCATGAAATGTTCGAGGCATTGATCCAAAAAATGTACCTGTTATTATAAATAATCCTTATTGGGGCAAAAGTGTTACGTCTTAAGAGACAAAAATATTTTGAAGGTATAGACCCCGAACAGCTTCTGATAGGTTGACTAGTTTTCTGCCTTCGTCTGTCACCGGTTGAATACCCTGTCAAACCGTTCCGACCCCTTTGGCTAAAATGTGCAAATAACGAGTTGCTTGCCCCCAAAAGGTCTCGAAGGACTGCATCACCGGCTTTCACTCTATGTCGAGCTTGTTCCAAACGAAAGTGCTATCGGAGCCCTCCACCCAAAGTTTATCGACTTGTTTCTAGAATTTATCAATAATGATCTCCAGCTTAGCTAGGGTTTCGCCATCTTGATCTCGCAGTTTTCGAAAGGACTCTCCGGGTCAGTAACATTTTCCTCGTCTTGCCCCTGCACCCTTTGCTTCTGAGTATTCTTTGACCACGGCTGGGCTTCTGAGCTTTTTATCTCTTTGTATTATAATCCCTTTGTCCATTAATGCAGATTATTCATGTTTAACAAACACATTTTTGGTGGATCAACACCTCGTTTTAAATGATGCGAATGATGAAAACAAAATGAAATAGAACAAAAAATAAAAGGGGCTAGTGAGGTAAATCAAAATAAAAAAATATAAAATCCTACCCCACATGATAATTTACCCAAACATGCTTAATATTCCTACACAGACATGATTTCTATCCCGCATGCTAATTTCAAACAAATCCTAGCCGCATATTTGTCTAGTTCGCATGCTTTGAACAGAAAATAAAGCAGGAAACAAAGCATCATAGGGTTTGGAATGAGGTCTTGGGGTGAGCTCTAATTCCCTGCACTCTCCCGGTTTAGGTTCTAAAAAGGTACTCGAGTTCTCATTGCCGGTGCCCCCTTGGGCTTGCCAAACCCTTAGTCCTAAGCCTATTACAAGCTTGTGTGGACTAAGTTAAACTCGAGAGGACACATTCCCTTATGCCCGCACGGTGAATAAATTCACACGAAGACATAAGGTATATGAATCCCGAAGGCTACTTGCTAGGCATATGCGGTGAATAAATTCACACGAATGCGTCGCTTTTACCCCCACTTAAAACGGGTTCGGAGCTCGGGTTTAGAGCTTAGAGATAACAATTTTGAAAAAATCTGAAATCATTAAAAAACGTCAGTACAACTATTTATTTGAAAAATAATCAAAGGTAAATAATTAGAATCAAATAAACAAATTAAAATTTAAACTTGTAATTTTCTCTAAAAAAGACAACCGGAAATTAATTTCGGTCTGACTCACTTACCTATCCCCAGCGGAGTCGCCAAGCTGTCGCGACCGTCTTTCGGTTGGGCCCCAGAATTGGGCTTCGACGTGAAAAATGCGGATTGGAGTCGCCACCGATCATTTACTTTACGAAAAATGGGTTGATCAGATACCTTATTTCTTACCTGATCTGCGTTTTACCAGAGACGTGTCGGGTTCGGGAGTCGGTTACGGTCAATGAATGATTAGCACCCTTTAACCGCCTTTTCGGTACCAATTAATTTGCCTATTGTCTTTATTTGCGAAAATTAAAATTAAAATTCAAAAATTCAATTAGAATTACTTACTTTTTACTGATCAGAATTCTTCTAAAAGAGTCGAAAGTGTCAGATAAAAAATATTAAATAATTATTAAATAAATCAGAGAAAAAACATAAAAAAAATGAAAAAAAATAAAATATTAAATTAAATGGAAATAATAATAATAAATGAATAAACAAATTAAAGACAAAAGTAAATTTGATGGGAAAGTGGACTCATATGTGAAAGCTGGAAACAAAAGTAACTTTAAAAAAACAAATAAATTATCGGTCCATGGCACGTCATTTTACTTCTAAAACTAACAGAACTAATCCTTACAAACACATTGCACTTGTAAAATTAACTTCAAAAAAGAAAATAAATAACATTGAATAATTAAATATAATCTTACCCCTCACTGACCAAGTTCAATGCCCAGTTCACCAAGATAGTTTGTGAGAGGCCCAGATTATTAAGAACGAATATAGAGGATCATATGGATGTTCCACGTTACCTTTAAAATTTAAGGTAGTCAAAATCATTTGCTCTGCCTCGGCCACGCGTTCCCGATACAGCTCAAACCAATCAACAGGGAGCAAATAAGATAAGAATTTATCCTGCTTATAGAGTATTTCACAAGCAGTTCTCAACACATCGTTCAAAGGGCGAGGTGTCTCCTCAGACTTTGCAACAAGGGAAAAAAATAGCAGTGGATTTGTAGAGCGGTAGTGACCATGGCTGCCCAAGTGGAGGCCCCAAACAGCTTGAACGATGCACGACAGTGGCCACCCATGGCCGTTGAAGGTGATACACGACCTTCCAGCCCAACCCAGTCCTCGAAGATGAAACCCCCGACCAAGCAAGCGGCTAAAACGGCTTTGGACTCACGGTTTACTTACCAAATGACCAGGAACGACAACACCACAACAGCCCGAGAGTGGGGGTTGCGTCGCGAGACCTTTGTGCGAAGATCGACAACCTTGCACCGTCGACCGACCCTCTCCTAATCTTATTTTTCTCTCCTCACTGGTTTTTTAGGACTTTACTCCTCCCAAACTCCAAAAACTCTTCCAACGAATTAAGAGCACGTACAGCTGCAGATCCTATTCCCGTATTTTTCCAGTGCTCACATGTATCTCTCGTGTCCCCATTTTTTGAATCCCCCTTTTTTCCTTCTATTCTCTGCGTATTTATAGTGCTAATTCGGTTTTAGACTCCTGTTAGGACTAAAACTCTTGCTTTGCTTGTGGTGAGGATTCCAGTGACGTGGATGGAGACGTGAGGCGAGAGGAGTCTTCGGGTTGACCGTGGAACTCGACTGGCAGTTCCCCCTTGCATGTTGGCTGCAACGCTGAAGATGTAGAAGACTAGGGTTTCTGCTGGGTGTACAGGGCCTTGGAGTTTAAACTCATTTGTAGTATTGAACCTGAAAAATAAAATAGCAAATGAATAATAATATATAATGATATAATATAATAACATGTATATAAAATATAAAGTCGGACGAAAATGCATGTCGACAATCATAAAACGTTTTCAAGATATTTTTAAAAAAAATGTAATTCATCTTACGAAAACATCTTTCGAAAAATATTTTTCAAAAATATAATTTATTTTTTAGAATTTAATTTCTAGTAATTCATTTTTTAAAATTTAAATTTTAAAAAATCAATTACAGCGAAATACCGTAATTGTATACATTTATAGAAGGTAGAAGAAAAAACAATATGAGAGAAAAGTAAAGCTGAGGTACAGTAATGTACGCATTCCAGAGGAAGGAAGGTAGAGAGAGAGAGAGAGAGAGAGGGGGGGGGGGGGGGTAAACAGTTCACAGTAGCCTATACTTGAAGAAAAAAAGTCGGTTCGTTATTTTATTTTGAATAATTGGTTAATTAATTACCGAAGAAACAATCAAATGGATTTAGGCGAGCTGTGGGCGATATTCGGCCCCGCTTGTGCGGGCGCCGTATTCGGAGTCGGCTGGTGGTTTTGGGTCGACGCCGTCTTTTGCAGCTCTGTCACTGTCTCTTTCGTTCATTATTTACCTGGTACAATCTAATCTCTCTATGTCTCTCTAAATATATGCCCTGTTTCGTTTTAATTGTGTATTTTTCGATGTTTATACGGTTCTTTAATAGGAATATTTGCATCTATTGCGGCTTTGATGTTCAATTGTGTTAGAAAAGATGATATTGATCCATATGACGACAGCGAGTGGAGGTGAGCTAATGCTGTTCTTATCTCCCTCAATTTCTCACTGTTTCTTTTCAAGTGATTTTCCTTTTTGGATCGAATTTGCCTTTCACCAACAGTTGGAGTTTGATTATGCTTACTGTAACTAATTTTCGCTAAATTTGTTATCGTTTTGCCTATGATTGGAAAGTTAAGAAATCACTTATCTGTTACTGGGTGATGGTGCCGTGAACTGTGAAATCGAGATGCTTTCTTACATTTTAGCTGAGTGAATAAAATTGTCATCGAATATTTTATGATGTCTACAGAATTGAGGTTTATTGAAGTAATGATTACTTTGATATCCAAGGTACAGAATCTTGTATCTCATCTAACTTGTTCCTTTTGGCATCAACAAATTTAACATTAAAGCAATTGATATTTCAATTTCTTTAATTCTGTATGAGTAGTGCATTTGCAGACCGAGTTCCTGAAATTCTATTCAAAATTAGATTTATCACAAGTAAAGTGCCTACATTTTAGGTTCAAGTTTGGACGCATAATTTCAAGTGATCCATCTAACTAAAGGGTCAGAACTAATTAATATGGAACTGTTCCTTAAGATCATTTTATAAAGTGTATTCATGTTGAACTCTCTCTTCCTTACTCATCATTCAACTGTGACTGGAGTGGTACATCATAATTCTCTGAGCTTGGAATTTTATTTAGCTGACTGTATGGTAATGATGAACTGAGCTTTTGAAACCAAAGAAAGTTTTGAGGATTATACTTGTGTAGAACATTGATGAAAAGAAGGTATTTCTCATCCACCTTTTCTGCGCCTGTGTTATCACGAAAGTCAACCTTTAGGCTCTATGGGAAAGTGATTGTGGTAAATAGGGCTGTAAATGAGACGAGACAGATCGCGAGCTACTCGAGATTGACTCGATCAAAGCTCGATAAATACTCGGATCGAATGGACTCGACTCGAGCTCGAGCTCGACTCGAGTTCTTAACGAGCCGAAACGAGCAACTCGATATTCGACTCGAAAAGCTCGTGAGCAGCTCGAAAATATAATATATTAAGATTTTATTTTTTTAGAAATAAATTATTAATAATATTAATATTTATGTATTGATTTTTTTATAAAAAAATACAGTAAGATTTCTTGTATTTAAGGTTCATGTTCGAGTTTGAGTTTGAGGCTTCAATCGAGTTAAGTTTAATAATTTTTTTTCATTTCGAGCCTTTTCGAGCTGCTCACGAGCTTCAGTTTAGGATTTCGAGTTCGAGTCGAGCTTGAAAATTTTAAGCTCGCAAGTTTTCGAGTCGAGTCGAGCTTCATTTCAAAGTTTTCGAGTCGAGTCGAGCTTCATTTCAAAGTTTTCGAGTCGAGTCGAGCTCAGCAATACTCGAGCTCGACTCGGCTCGTTTACACCCCTAGTGGTAAATCATGTGCCTTATAAACTTCATGCGGTTTAGAAACAGAATTTTTATGCAAAACCCAAGAAGTATCTCACATAAGTGCTGAACTACAAGTTTTTTTCCTTGTAACTTTAAGTGTTGGATTTTTTTTTGAACTGTTAGTCTGATTGAAATACAAGAAAACAGATAGAGTAAAAAAAATGAAGGAGCGGTATTGGATTTTTTTCAACTGTTAGCAGGTTGGGTCGGATCGTGAAAATGAGTCGCTGCTGAATTTGATTATGAGACACCAGAAATGCTGCTAATCCATTTGAAGCTTCCTCTTATTTCACTTAGGTTCCATAATTATAAGCTCTGTTATTTCTCATAATGAAAACTTAACAACCATCTTGCTTAATCACTTAAACATGCATTAAGTAAGCTGATCTGTGCATGTACTCCAGTTGCATGGCAATTCTGTAGTCAGCAATTGGAGTTCAGAATTGCGACTAGGATTTGGCTTTATATGCATTAAAGCTGTAGGGATTTAGTAATGGTGTTTAACGTTCAAATTTCCTTTTCTTCTTATTTTCTTGCTAGTGTGTTGTTCTTTCTTTTGCATGGTTGCAAATAATTTCGTCAATTGCTGATATTTAGATTGTTTAAATGGGAAACTTATACTTTTGGAAGTTGAATGTGTTGACCCTCATTGCATCTGTTCATTGCATGGTTTAGAACTACGTTCTTTTTAAAGGAGTGACAACTCAACACTTCTTTCGTTGCTTGTTTTGGCTAATGGATGATAATCTTTCGTTGCAACAGGTTGAAGCTCTGGCTTTTCCTTGCTTACGTTGTCTCCTTTACCTCTCTGTCTGCTTCTGTGGGCCTGTTGATACAAGACTCGGTAGTGAAATCTGGTCCTTCAGTCTGGACTGGTACTGCAGGTGTCTTACAGTGTGTTTTCGTGTTAATCAGGTGAATGTTATTACATATTTATAATTTTGACCATCACCCATGTTATGTTTAAGGCTAGCTTTGTATGATTGTTTCAAATTGAAGATGAATAATCTATCTTGTGGTTATGTGCCTGTATGAGAACGATACACGAAATGTCGTACCTAAGATGTTCTCTAATTTCATTATGTATTAAATGTGTTGCGTTGCTATTCTGTCACCATCTCTATTAATTTTGTTAATCTGAATCTTCTACTGCAGCGGACTTATATATTGGACTTCTCACGTAGAATAACCGATCAGCATTGTAGCTTGGATCCACAAGTGAGTCTTCAGTCTTATAAGCAGGAATCATGTGTCGTTTTAATTATTCGATGGTGCAATTAGAAAGGATTTTTCACCGTATTAAATATTGTACCCTATAGTAACCATCTTGACTGGGAAGACTAAGATTAATCCTGCTATTTTGAAATTTATGATTTCAACTACATAGAAACCATATTTTTTTTGGTTTTGAATTGGTTATACCAACCTCTTTCCCGATTTGATTTGCCATTTTGAGGCTTGTTTGTTTTGATAAGGAAAAATGGTGAAATAAAATAATGTCTTTGATTGGAAAAGTTGAATAAAAATGTAATTGGGTTGTCATTCAGAGATGAAAAAAACAATTATAGCATTTTAGTATTACTAAATTATGATAACAAAGAAAATTTTGAATCTAGACTCTGCTGCTCATATAATTCATGTTAAAATAAAATATCTGATATGTTATATAAAGGTTGGCAGTTTGTGTAATGTACCCATGTCTATGTTATTATATAAGTGTCAAAATGTTTCATCCACATTTTAGTGTTGTAATTAAAAAAAAAATTAGTGTTTGCACAATTCCTTATGCACAGTTTTGAAGTTTATATGTTTTTAGTCAAATTATGTCATTATTAATCTCTGTATTGTCTATATATAAATTATAGATTTAACTCTTGTATTTTAATTTGGTCAATTTCAATCTTTTGTTTTCAAATAATAAAATTAAAATATTAAAAATAATTAAACTGAAGAATATGAACTAAATCTATAAATGCCTATATATAAATTGATTTTTTTCCTTTTTACAAACATGATCAATCTCATTAGATTAAAAGATAAGTCTAGAGATAAATAATAATAATGAGATTCAAATCTAAATTTGTGTGATGCTATTATGAAAATTGAACGAATCAATTAGATTAAACCCTAGATGTATAACTGACTTGAAACAAGGACTACCTAGTTTAGACTGTGGAGGACTATCTAATTCGCAATTTGCCTTTCCTATGCATGAATGATAAGAATAAATGTTCCCAAGTGAGAATTAAGCACTGCATTGGTTTGGAAAATGACTGGTACAATGGCATTTGCATGATAATGGCATTTAAAAATATATATTTACAGTCATCATATCTTTGCAAAGAAAGTGGGTGTTGAAGCTTTTAGAATGGATCCCCACTGGTGTTTCCTTCATTTTTTTTTCACGGATAGCTACTTGCTCTCACATGTAAAACATGGCTAAAAAAAGATAAAGGATAACCATGAAAAATACACATGTAACGTGTACTACTGAACAAAAATGCAACTTCTTTTATTTCATCTTTCTTTTCCTATATGTAAAATTGCCCAAAAACACCAATAGTCTCTATCTTGTAAAGTTGAACCCTCTTGAAAGGAAGAAAACACCAATCCCCCCCCCCCCCAAACCAAACACGGATTCCCCACTCAGCAGCTATTTCATGGAGGAAATATCCAAGTGAGGAAAAAGGGGGGGGGGCGGCGGAAATCCTAAAGATCTGCCATCAAATCTGGAAATTCTTTGGATTTATTATGTAGGGATAAAGAAAGTCAAGCTCATGATACGGTCCTAGTTGAGCTTGATTCAGAAGAAGGTCCATCTGGATTAGTTGCAAGAGATTGAGCAAAGCTTTGGGAGAATGCTGCTACAAGGTTTCAGAGACGGCATGAGCTTCATGTACTGCAGAAAAAAAAATACAAAATTAGCGAATAACAAAGCAAAATATATAAAATGCACTGCTTTAAAACAACGAGGAAGATGATGATTAGCCATGGAATCAGATTGCAGATAAAGGCATTATAAATGTACCAAATTTTAATAACTGTTCAATGGCTATAAATAAAAAACATATCCCATTCCGTTTAGCATCCAATAGATGGAGCATGATTAGTTGATCACCTACATAACATTTTGCGTTGAACTTCAAGTTTCATTAGAGACGTACCAAGAATCAACTTGACTTCAGTGAAATTTCATTGATTAAATTTTTTACATTTGTAAAGGGAAAGTACTGCGAAAAAGACGGAAAGAAAAGATATATCTCACCTCCTTACAGAAAGCATTGATCTCCTCTTCTGTGAGGCCTTCATCCTCACCAGAGTTTTCTTCCCAGCCAAGTGAACGAAGAAAAGCAGCCTCTTCTTCATCTGGATATACCATAGCAAAGGAGATCATATCCTTTTCACAGTCATCAGAAAATCCTTGAGCATCTTGACGTGTGTCATCGTTGCTAGTTGCCACAGTACAAGTCTCATTACCATGAGCAGGTGCAGACGCACTGGCTACTCCATTTGAAACTTCAGATTTCTCTACGGTGGAAGATGAAATATGAGGATCTAAACCTGAAAGACCAGCTGAAGTGTTTGTTGAGGTCTTCTTCTTCAGGAGATTAAAAAAATCATTTCGACCCTGGGTCTGATCCAAGGAGGGTCTCTTTTCCACAGTGAACCCAGATATTGGATACAAGGTAGCTGCCTTGCGTTCCCCAGCAGAAAGCTTTGGGGGGTTTGAGTTTCGAGAAGCAGATGTAACAGCAGCAACAGCATGTTGGCTAGTGGCAACTTTTCTGTTTGCATAGCTAATAGAGAAACTAATAGAGAGACGATAAGAAGATAGATATAGAGGTGGATGAATAGCTCTAAATAAAATAAAAATGCAGATTTTTATTTGGCCTAAAAATTTAGTTCCATTTTGAAGATGAGAGGAGACGACGATTAAATTTTCTGTTCCTTTATTTTCCTTTTTAGTACGAAACGTGATGAACAGGCTCTTCCAGAAAAACCAAAATTTATTTTTAGATAAAGCAAAATTTAATCCTTGTATTTGTCAAATTCTTCCAATTTAATCCCTAATATTAGCTTTTTCAAACTGTTTTCGGTCACTTTTGAAAATTCGTGTTGGTGTTTTTTATTATTTAAAGTTTAAATATTTAATATGTTTGATAAACAAAAGACCAATGTTATTAGATAATTTCTTTTATGTGAATAATTAGTACTCATATTCAAGTTCGATTGTGGTTGCTTAATAATGAGCTTCTTATCTAATTTAATTAAATAATTTTATCTTAATCTTCAAATGAAATATTGCCTAATTATGCTTGCCCCAATTGAAAACTTCAATGAATTATTGATGGCAAATTAGGTTTGGTGGGATTTGTTTTCACCTTTTTTAATATGAATTTCTGCCGTCTATTTTTCAATAAATATGATTGTGGACAAAACCGCAAAAATATTAATAATAAATCACATGCTTAACTTTTAAAAAATAAATAACATTCCGTTTTTCTTAATATTTATGTGTCGTATTCTTTTTTTTTTTACTTAGCTGACGACAACACTAATTTTAATGCTGGTTGTCGATCGTCGATGACTATTAATTATCTTTTTTTTCATACGATGTCCTTTATTTTTTCTTGAATTTTCTTAATTTTGAATAAGAATTTCTATCATTGTAACATGTTTTTCTCTACTCTTGTAGAACGATCCTAAAGACTTTTTATATGTTTTTTTGCATACTTTTGCGATCTTTTTGGTGATCACAAGAAAATCATTACGACATTTATTTTTTGATTAGTTTGT